TACATGATGAACAGAACCAAGGAGGTGATACTTCCCCTCTATCGGGTGCTGGTCAGACTGCAGTTAGAATACTGCGTGCAGTTTTGGGCGACACACTTCAAGAAGGATGCGGATAACCTGGAGTGGGTCCAGAGAAGGGCCACTCATATGGTTAAGGGCCTACAGACCAAGCCTTACGAGGAGAGACTAGAGAAACTGGATCTATTCAGCCTCCGCAAGAGAAGGTTGAGAGGCGATCTTGTGGCTGCCTATAAGTTCATCACAGGGGCACAGAAGGGAATTAGTGAGTATTTATTCACCAAGGCGCCCCCGGGGGTTACAAGAAATAATGGCCACAAGCTAGCAGAGAGCAGATTTAGACTGGACATTAGGAAGAACTTCTTCACAGTTTGAGTGGCCACGGTCTGGAACGGGCTCCCAAGGGAGGTGGTGCTCTCCCCTACCCTGGGGGTCTTCAAGAGGAGGTTAGATGAGTATCTAGCTGAGGTCATGTAGACCCAGCACTCTTTCTTGCTTATGCAGGGGGTCGGACTCGATGATCTATTGAGGTCCCTTCCGACCCTAACATCTATGAATCTTTGAATCCTGAGATTTACTTGAGAAGCATCTATAGGTGCAAGCCAGAGTTTTGTTTGCTTTACCAGCTGTGACGTCGCATTGGTGGCTCATGTTCATCTTGTGGTCAGTCACAACCCCCAAGTCTCTTTCAGCCGTGGTGCCAGCAAGCGTAGCACTGCCAAGCCTATAAGTATGCTGTGGGGTTTTTTCCGCCCGAGGTGGAGTACCTTACATTTATTAGTACTGAATGTCATCAGGTTTGTATCCATCCACTTACTAAGCTTATCCAAGTCAGCATCACTAGCCTGTCCTCGGGTGTGGACGCTATGCCCCAGAGTTTAATGTCATTGGTGAACTTAGCCAGTGCACTTCTGCGACCAATGTCCACATCACTGATAAAGATGTTAAAGAGAACCGGTCCAAGGACAGAGCCTTGGGGGACACCACTGGTCATGGAGCACCATAATGATTTGCTACCATCGACCACTACTCCTTTGGGTCCGATGTCGGAGCCATTTTCCCAGCCATTGGACTGTGGTGTAACCGAGGCCGCAGTTGTCCAATTTTTACATGAGGACATCATGGGACACCAGATCGAAGGCTTTTTTAAAGTCCGGAAATATGATGTCAATCTCTTCTCCCTTGTCCAGGTGATGGGTCACCTGCTCATAGAAGGAGATGAGATTGGTCAGGCAAGACCTACCCGCGACAAACCCATGCTGGCTGTCCCTCAGGATGTTGCCTTCAGCCAGTTTATCCAGAAGGGTCTCCTTGATAACTTTCTCCAGAATCTTACCAGGGATTGAGGTCAAGCTGATTGGCCTCTAATTCCCGGGATCTACTTTCTACTCTTTCTTGAAGATGTGTACCGCATTGGCCTTCTTCCAGTCTTCAGGTACTTCACCTGAGCACCACGAGTTTTCGAATATTTTTGCCAATGGTTGGGCTATGACACCTGCCAGCTCCTTGAGTACCCTAGGGTGTAATCTGTCAGGACCAGCTAACTTGAAGGTGTCCAGCCTCTCAAGGCGATTTTTTTTATTAGATCAACACAGATGCTGGGTATAAATACACACTCACCCTGGCCGTCCCGCTTATTGCTAGGCAGGGTGGTCCCTCTGACTGATGAAAGACCGACGCGAAGTACCCAACGAGCAGATTGGCCTTTTCCTGGGTGTCAGTTACCAGCTGTCCCATTTGGTTCAGCCAGGGGTCCAATGTTACCCTCACTTTTTTTCTGACTCCCTACATACCTGAAAAAGGACTTTTTGTTATCCTTGATATGTAAAGTCAGATGGAGCTTGGCTGCAGCCTTGGCTTTCCTGATCCGCTCCCTGCAGGTACAATTAGTGCTGAGTACTCCTTCTTGGTGTTACTTCCAGCCTTCCCTCCTTTATAAGTCTCTCTTTTGAGGTGTAGGAGGTTCTCAAGTTCCCTGCTGAGCCATGACCTTCACTTCCCAGTGGTTGAGAAACACTGCATTAAGGCCTCAGGACTTAACCAATTGATTCCCCCACACAAACACAGGAATCACTATTGCTAAACCATCCCAGACAAATGCCTATCCAGCCTCCCAATGACCTCTAGTTGGAGAGATTGTTTCAGTGTCCAGCTCTTCTGACCGTTAGAAAGAGAACTGTCACAATAATTTTTTTTTATGAATATTTATACTTCCCTAAATTCATTCCTAAGAATGAATGTACATTTGATTACCTTTATGCCATAACTGGGGCCCTACCGAATTCACAGCAGAAGTGGGGCATGCTGCAGCTCCTTTAATCTTGCAGGTTGCCCTGCATGCCCCCCACACCGGCTGCTGATTGCTCAAGGGGTCTGCTTGCGGCTTGCTCCTAATCAGCGGGGAGGCAAAAACTGAAGTTTTAAATATGGAGCCATCTTGCCTCCCACCACTGATTGGCCAGGGGCCCTGGTGGCCCCATTGCTTGCTGCTGACCAGCAGGGAGGCAAAAACAGTGCCACGGTTAAAACCACGGGTTTTGCTTCCCTGCTGATTTAGGAGCGAGCCACAGGTGGGACCCCTCCATCAGTTGTCAGTGGAGGAGCGTGTGGGGGAACCTGCAAGACTAAAGGAGCTGCAGCACACCCCATCTCTGCCATGAATTTGGTAGGGCCCTAGCCATAAGTTGAATTCTTTCAGGCCCTGTCTGTATGTGCACTTTAAATCTAACTTTTTTTCATTGTAATACTTGATTCCTATTCCTTGTTCAAATTCCTTATCCAGTCCCTCTGTACTGATCACAGGAGGTGAAAGTGGATGTTCAAGTACAGTGTAAAGTTAGCAATGTACCATCTCAGTCTACCCTACAAAGATGGAGCAACCAGGGCTGGAAAGGATCCTCTGTGAATCCAGGCCTTGTGTTTCAGCTAACTGCTTTCTAGTCTTCTGGTTTTTTTCCTGACTTACACCCCTG